TTACAAGTCATATATAAACGCTTTGACAGAACAGATTGATGCGAATAAATGTGGGTTCATAATTAAACACGTACATTCCATAATATACAGCAGATTAATGTGCATAACTATACCATCAAAATATTTGAAGGATTTTTTTAAAACCTATCATCAAATTGTGCACATCAAAGATAGGTCAGGTAATGAACTCTTACAGGATGAGAAGTCAAGAGTTCTCACTGGAATTCTACTTGATCTCAATTCAATCACTTCACCGCTTTATGAAAGTGTCATTCTCATATTGGCTTTCCTCTGATCCTAGGTATGGGCTTCCAAGTGGAACGAAAGAGCATACTTCAGTACACGGAAAGTGAAGCTTGATCATGACAATCTCTGCATGGCTGTCCTTGTTCAAGAAATCATAAGTGCTGACTATGCCTTCGTCATCCACACTACCAATCCATCAACTGGGGACTCATCGCAGATTTATGCCGAGGTACTTTTCCAAACAAGATTTAGCCATTTTTGACCTGTGTAGATGTTAATGGTTCACAATGCCAGGTGGTGAAAGGACTTGGCGAAACTCTAGTTGGCGCATATCCAGGGCGAGCACTAAGTTTTATTTGTCAGAAAAATGATCTCAACTCTCCAAAGGTAAGTTTGGGGAAAAATCATGGTGACAGAACTCTTCATATTGGGAGGAAGGAGGAGGCTACACGTGTCCACTACAAATCCTAAATCAGTGCAAACAATACACAAGATCAACACACACAGTAAAAATAGTGCAAACAGTAAAAAACTAATTATGGCAAACAGTACAAAGGTTAGTGTAATCACCACTTAAACTGGTAGCGGAACACATGTATAAGATGCTCCTATCTCCCTATATGATTCTCTATAGAAAGTGCTCTTTATGGTTTTATTTCCAGTAGATTTGCTATAGTTATATCTCCAAAATCATTACCAATATTTTTTCTTAGCCTAACAATTATATGCCTAAATCATGCTATGATATGTTTTTTTTTTTTTTAAAAGCTTTTAATTTTTGCGTATATTTTGATTTGGATGTTTATCTTCCACAGTTACTGGGCTACCCAAGCAAACCAATTGGCCTCTTCATTAGACGGTCAATCATCTTCAGATCTGATTCCAATGGTGAAGATTTGGAAGGTTATGCTGGTGCTGGACTCTATGACAGGTTGGTCCTTTTCCTATCTAAGAATCTTATCTTAGTTGCTCTTTTTCCCCCATATATCACGGAATTGCTTGTATGTATCTGTGCTTCGAAATTTAAGTCTTTCCTAACCAACTGCCTTTTGGTACAGTGTGCCCATGGATGAGGAAGAGAAAGTGGTTCTTGATTACACAAATGACCCTCTAATAATAGATCCAAATTTCCGCAACTCCATTCTCTGCAGTATCGCAAAAGTTGGAAATGAAATCGAGCAGCTTTATTGCTCTCCCCAAGATATTGAAGGGGTGATCAAGGCTGGAAAGATTTTTGTTGTCCAAACTAGACCACAGATGTAGTTCATTGTTGCTCTCAGATTTGCTGCATATGCAGCAGTAAAGTCTAAATAAATAGCTGAATAAGTAGACTCCTTTTAGACCTAATTCAACATGTGATACTACAATAATTTTCCCCTGATAATATAGAAGCAAGATTCAGAGAGAATAAGGCAGATGTATTCTTAATGCCGTGAATTATACGGTTGTTATCCTGTCCACTATGATGAGGATGTATTGAAAACATTAATTATAATAAGATGTGGAGACTTCCATTAGTTGAGGTTTCTTGTACTAAACTTGCAGCTTATTGTTACTTTGAGTTGCACCAAATGCTCCAAAATTTACCTTGAAATCAGTATTTTTTTTTTTAAAGAAAAGAAAGTCCATCTTGAAATTTTATCTGAGATGGATTGGAATAAAAGGCATGTACAGAATAGG